TGGCCTTACATAGTATCAAAATCCAAACAAGCCACTAGCTTCTTTGCTGACATGCTAAGTAGATTCATCTGTATCTCAGAGCAATGCATAAATCTGGGGATTAATTCTATTTTATGGGATATAATGAAAGCTAGATTCAGGTTTTGCCAATAATGCTGTATAAGCTATAATTATATTTATAAAATATGGTATTAGAATGGCAGCTTTCCCCAAATTTATCACTATGATCATTCATTTCAATGTGGTCCACGAAGACCAAATCCAAGAGTCACTTGGAAAGAAGAAATCCATTGCTGGCAAAAAGCTGCACAACTCATTAAATACCTTACAGAAAAATCCTCTTGAATTCCCCATTCCTTTAATGATATACTTGAAGTTTACTTTATAAGTCCACAGGAAATAGTCTGCCTCCATTTTAATAGTGTCCTAAAACAGCAGGTGAGAGACAGGGAAGGATGTATAAAAAAGGCAACAGATTAAATAGAAGTTCTGTATGAAACAAAGCAAATGCAAGGCATGACTTCCCCCCGCCCCCAAACCCACACACAACCTGCACCTACCACTGCACATCCACCTAACTCAGAATTTTTTCAAACACCTCATGAAAGTGTATGATAAGCTGGAACGACAAAAAGGGCACCAATGTATTTCCAAGTATTACCCAACATCATGTTAATCATCATATCAATGCAGGGATCCAAATTTTTTCAACCATTGCTAGAGCTGAGGCTTCCATCATCTACTTTACACAAAAAAATCATTAGACACACCCTAGTCTGTTGACTGTTGGTATTTCTTGTTGCCTCAGAACACAATTAAAAGTCCATGAAATGGCCTTCTGAATTCCCCTCCTGAAACTTGAGCAATAGTACGACTGTATAGATAATTTTCCAATGGAGTCTTGTACTTTGTCAGGTCTCCACTGTTCTAGTTCTCAAGTGACTCCTCTTTAGTGTGATTTACAAGGTTTTGGCATTTCAGTTTTTCACAATGAAAAAATTACCCTAGAGTAGGCTAGGATGCTCTTCTGAAAAATGAAGCAAGCTTCTTTCAAACTTGCAATAGGAATACACACGTGAAATGATTTTCCCCTTAGCAGTTGAAGAAA